ACAACAACAACAACCACAACAACAACAACAAAAAACTCTAAATGTCCTCCCACTGATTTCTTCCCTGAGCGGTTTGGTTTGCATTATATGATATTCTTCTGATGTGGGTTCTTTATCTGTTTTCTGCCTGTAGCGCAAAAAAAAAAAAAAAAAAAAAAAAAAAAAAAAAAAAAAAAGTCTTGATTCTAAACCACAGTTCATTGAATTAAATGCCCAGGGACAGGATCATTGACTTAAAAATTGATCAGTCATCCTTATGTTGACAGTTGTTCATTTTTCTTCCCTGGGGCATGACTGATTCTAGAAATCCTCCAAACTCAATGGAACTCTTCCCAAAACAAAGTGTGGCATAGGGGTCCTTCAGGAGTGTGTCGGAAGAAATGGCAAGAATATAACCCAATTTTCTTAAAAACTGATCCTACTGTTACAAAAGTTTGCTAACTTTCAAATTGTTGAAGATTTTCTCTTAAAATTTTATTATTTAGGCCACTTTGAGGTGTGATTTTTTTCTTAGTTGCTTTAATGTAATCATAATTGTTAGAAAAAATTGTAGATACCATATAATTTACACATAAATTATCTGGATTTCAACTCTAAGTCTTGGTGTTTTCATAGTACTTAATGATTTTATTCATTCAAATGGCATATAGTTATGTCCACCAAAGGAGTTTCAATGTAGATTACCAAAAATGATATTTAGCCATTAAAATGAAACTTCTGTTTATTCAACATTTGTTTCCATAGACCTTAAATTTACCATCAGGTTTTTAATCACCAGCTTTATTATTTTCTTCCTATATATTTCCTCAACATTCTTATAAATGCAAAACAGTGTTTTATTTTTGTTATCAGGGAGACATATTTCCTCTACTATTCTAGCTGTGAAATAAACATATAGAAAAAAAGCCCTTAGTATAAGTCGTCTTCTTGACAAATGAGAGTTTAAAGTTATTTTGTTTGCATTTCCAGTTTCTGAAAATATTGTCTTGAAGGAATATTATACAATAGAGCATAGTCAGTTTACTTTTGTAACAGTGTCATGTCAACAAGACTAAAAGTCACGCAACAGTTATTTCAGGTATTCAATGTGACAGTCTTCTTTAGACATGCTAATTTTAATCAAAGGAGTGATGAGAGAAAACTACTAGTTTTTTTTTTTTTTTAGGTTAGCAAAGATTCATTGCATATACGTTGTTCTAACATGCTGTGAAGATGTGAAAGAGTTTTAGTATTTGCAATGTATCTTTTATGTATAAAGATATCCTGGGCAAATTAAAAAAAAATCCCTCTGGAGTAATAGGTGGAATATTTGAGTAGCCCACTCACTGTTGCATCAAGGGTAAAGAAATAAAATGTATTTACTGTCTAAATTTCCTTATCAATAATGAGTACAAAAGTACAAATTTGGCATTAGTCTTTCTTTGGACATAACAATTTCTTAGAGTTTGGGTCTTCATTGACTACTTTTGAAGTAGCTGGTTGTATTACAAATGTTAAAAAGTAATAACTGAAGAAGAATATATATGAATTAGGAAGACTACATAATGCAGCCAAATACCCAACATTATTCACATGGACTGGTATTGTTTTGAATTTTAGATGATTTTACTTTCTCTTTGACTCTTCATCTAAATTTAATAAGGTCAGAAAGGCACATGGGCTCTTCCCTCATAAAAAATTAATTTTTCTTCTTTTTATCAGAAGAATTATACAGAAAAATATCATCCATTTATTTCCATGAGTTAAAAATAAAGATTTACATTATTCTCTGGATGATAGAAGTATCTCAACTCACTTCTTATTGAAAACCAACAAGTTGAAACTTCACAGTAACTTTAAATTGAGCCTTCTTTATTGTCTTGATAAAAATGGTAGAAGATATGAATTTTCCCTTGTATTTAGTGATTTCACTGTTCTGCTTTGTAATGTCCAGGATTTGTAATCATCTGATGCTGTGGAAACATGTTTGAATATCAAATCATATTCAATGTATGAAACTAAATACCTTTTAGTCGTAGTTGCACAAAATTGTATGCAATTATTGACAGGAAAAAAAACTTACAATACTTTGTTCTGATAATTTATCTTCATCTCTAGTTCTCTCATTACTATGTTACTTTTTCTTATTCTGATTATTAGAGATAAAAAGAAAGTGTTGCAAACTAAATATTAAATTATTGTATTTTTTCATTGAGCTGGGCAGGCTGACATACATCTGTCATCCCCACAACTGGGCAGGAGCTTCACAGTTCAAAGCCAGCCTCAGCAACTTAGAAAGGCCCCTGTCTCAAAAAATGAATAAATAAAAATGAAAGAGACTGGAATTGTGGTTCAGTGTTTAAGAGTTCCTGAGTTCAACTGCTGGTACAAAAAAATTTTTTTTTCATTCTAAAAATTTGGTTATAATATTAGATTCTATGTACAAAGGTGAGTTGATAGGGTGTGATAGCAAACTCTGTATTCTTATCTCACCCTTGTCATCCTGTACAAGCTGAGATATGATTGGAGATGATATCCAGGAGAGATGTTACCATGATAGTTCAAAATCCAAGGACAAGAACCTATCTGGAAAGGAAAAATGGATTTCTTAATTCATTTGAGACAGGGCTATGCATAGCAAGCTAGGGAAGCAAAGAATGGGTAAGAATTAAAAAAATAGGGATGACATTTTCAGCTGAAATTTTTTTAAAAAAAAACTATCAATGAAGAGTGTCAGTTATGACATATGCTAAAATTTCCAGACTGATAACATGAAGCTTTGCAATGACATGGAGATATGGAATTCTCATCATTGGTGGGAAGATTCACTGATACAGCTACTTGGGAAACTATTTGGTGGTTATCTGAACATTTAAAACTGAATCTACGATGTAACCCAGCCACTGGGCTTGATATTTCCTCAAGGGAACCATACATCCTTACAAAAATGTGGCCATAAACCTTCTCATGGCAACATTATGCACTTTTTCTAAAGAAGTTGATGGGCATTTATTTTATTCATTTATTTATATATGTTTCTGAAAATTGAACCCAGAGCCTCACCCATGCTAGACAAGCCCTCTACCACCAAGCCACAACCCCAGTCTGTTATGCACTTTATTTGTAATAACATGAGGGAAAAAAAATGGCAACAATGTGTTTATCTATCCACAGGTAAATGGGTAGCACATGCCTGCCACATACACAGGAATATTACTTAGCCATAAAAGACAATGAAGTGTGAATAAATACATCAACATGGTTTAATCTCAGAAAATTGTGTCATTGAAAGAGCCAGAGAACCAAAAGAACGCTTGCTGTATGATTCTATTTACAGAACATTCTAGGAAATCACAACTAAAATATAGGGATAAGAGAGGTAGGATTGCATTACCTGGGAAAGATGAGAGTGGAGAAGAGGGAGGAAGAGGCTTATAGTGGCCAAAAGGAAAATTTGGGGGTATATATATATATATATATATATTCTGTGGTCTCTATTATAAATATTATTTTACAACCATCTATATGTGTCAAAATAGATCAAATTGCAGACTTTGTATGTAGCCAGTTACACCTCCACAAAGCCATTAAAAATCAGGAAAGCAGTTGCCACCAGAGGAGGAGTGGTTTATGATAGGAAGGGCCCCACGGTGGTTCCTGGGGTGCAAGAACATTCTGTCCTCAGCTGAGGTACAAGTTGAACAGATGTCGTTTTTATTGCCGTTCATTAAGCCTTAAAATGACACCGTTTTATGTTTTGTGCACTACTTACCTCTTTACTGTATTTCACAATTTTAAAAATTGAATTGATAATTAAATAAAACTGGTACTTTAATTACATTAAATTTGTCTTTAAAATTAAATATTCAATAAAATACATATAAGTGGAAAGCATAATTTCTTTTTTTAACAAAGCAATTATTCTTAAGATGTAAATTTTATATTGTCTCCTTTAATAACAGCTAATTTTGCCCTTATTAGTAGCATACATACACACTTATTTGGCTTTATAAATTATAAGTAGCTTATATTTTTCTTTGTGGAATAAGTTTCTGCTGTATCCACAGTCCCATTCCTATGCTTTCTGTTTTTGAAAGATAAACAAAGAAATTCACCCTGGAATCCTATCTCTGTGGGCCTCCCTCAACTGTGCATCACGGAAGTGCCCTCTGATCACATATTCCATTGGTGCTGCTAGGTTTATGGCAATATTTGGGTGGGTGGCTGTTGGGAGTAGTGCATCCTTTTTTTAAAAAAAATTTACTTTTATGGCTTTATTGTACTCTATGACCATTAGGTGCAGTGGCTCTCACCCCCTGGGGTGTGGTATATGCATTGATCTGGTCTCTGTTGCTTTTCTTTTCCATCCATGCTGAACTGCTTTGTACCTTCTGCATCATAACTAGGAGCCCTTCTTTTCAAGGGCTCAAAATGCTTCCTCATGATATGAAACTGAGGAATAAAGGTAAAGAATCTCGAGTGGTAGAGGGCAAGTGTCTATATGTATAAACCCATCCCAGAAAATTTTCTCAGTAGTCAAGAAAGTTATGAGAATTTGTATCTTGTAGAAGGAGAGGAAGGGTACAGAAGTTCAGAGAAATATTAAAAATAGAACTGTTATATGATTCAACAATCCCATTTCAAGGTGTGTATGTTAATAAAATAAAATAGTTTTCTACATCTGCACTCCCATGTTATAGCATAAGCACTGGAACAGCTAAGATACAGTATCAACCTAAGTGTTCATCAACAAAAGAATGAATTCATTCCTTTGTGCATGTGTTTGTGTGTGTGTGTGTGTATAATATTATATATAATTTTATTATATATATATATAAACAACACACACACATCTTACCCCTTTAACCATTTTACCCACATATATATGTATACATGTTATTCAGTCTTAAAAATGAAGGAAATCTTGTTACTTTGCAACTATGTCAATCATCAATGACCTCAGAAGTCATTATGATAAAGAAAATAATCCAGGAATCCAAAGAAAAATACTGCATGATCTCTCTTATAGTGGAATCTGGAAAAAAGTCAAAATGCTTAGGAACAAAGTGGAATGGTGGTTGGTTGCCAGGGTAGAGAGGAATGGGGAGCTGTCCATCAAAGGGAACCAGTTTTCAATTATTCAAAATGAAATAGATCTGGAGTTTTAACATACAGCATAGCATGGTCACTAGAGTTAATTCTTTACTGAACTTGAAAATTTTGAAGAGAGATCATCAATGTCCTTACAACAAAAAGAATGATAAGTGTTTAAGGTGATAGATGTATAATTTAGGGTGAGTTCATCATTTCACAATAAATACATTTAACACAATATCACACTGTACTTCCTAAAGATATACTACCTTTATTTGTCAACTTCACCTTTATGAAGTTGAAAAAATTTTAAAGCAGGAAAAATTTCCCTTATTATTATAAAAAAGTTATGTCCATACAGGAAATGGGAACCCAGTCCTAATATTAGGGAGAAAAATTAAAACAGATGGAAAAAAATGTGCTTTGGAAACAGTGACAGGAGACAATCTTCTCAGTAGTGACCCCTAGTCAATGAGCTAAAGTGTAGTGATTTTCCTCTGAGCAGTTCCTGGGTCTTATTGTGAGGTCCAAGACAACACAGAGAAGCAGAGTGAAAGTAGGATTTTAGTCTCCTGTGTTCTGAAAAAAACAGGAAGAGTTTTAATCATAATAAAAAACATGATACCAAAGATATAGATAGACAGATAGATAAATCGATATAAGAGAGGAGGATAATGTCTTTTCAGAATGAGAATGACTTGAACACTTCAAATGGTAATATTCTCATCTGTAACATCCCTAAATCCATGAATTCTAAAGACAGGTGCAAATAAATTTATTTTTGTAATAACTTATTTTTCTCTTTTATTTTCTCTTATCCTCCATACCATCATCTTTTGATTTCTCATTGCTGGAACACATTTGAAAGATGCTTAAATAGAATGCCTGCTTTGGGTTTTCAAATAGCTCTTCATGTAATGTAAATTATGTTACATGCATACTCAAATATGTAACAATGAATCCCACTACTATGTTTAATCATAATGCAACAATCAAAATGAATAAGCAATAAAATATGTATGTTAAGGCCGAATAATATTTTATACACCATATTTTCTTTAACTATTCATCTATGGATGGAACCTTGATTATCTAGGCTGTTGTGAATTGTGAACTCGAGAGTGCAAATATCTCTTTGAGATAGTGATTTTATTTCCTCTAGATACATTCTCAGTAGTGGGATGGCTGCATCCTATGGCAGTTCAATTTTTAATTTTTATGTCCATACCAATATTTAGCCTTAAAAAGAAGGAAATTCTGACATTGGAGGCAAAAAAAGACATTATATTAAATGACATTAGCCAGACACAGTCAAATGCTGTATGACTTGCTTATAGGTAGAGTCTAAAATAAACAAACACATAGAAATAGGCTAGAAATATTGTTTCCAGAGGCTAGAGAGGGAGGAGATAGTGATCAAAGTGAACAAATTTGCAGTTATGACTAAATTCTCGAGACTTAGCATACAGCATAGTGACTATAGATAATAAAAATGTACTGCATAATTAAAATTTGTTAAGAGATTAGATCTTCAACATTTTCTTAAAAAATGGGTAACTAAATAATGGAATGGTAATTGACAGTGACAATCATTTTGCAAATTATACTTACATCAAAACATCACCTTGTATGCCTGTAACATATGTAATTTTTGTTAAATATGCTTCAATAAAGCTGGAAAAAATAAAAATTAAAAGAAAGTAGAAATGTTCAATCATTCAGGTGAATGGAATTTCTTTAAAAAAATATGGCAACATAGTTTTCACACAAGTCTTTCAGTTACTCATGAAAATAATTCATTTAAAAAGGATTCATAGACAATCTTTATAATTAGACTGCTGATTTTCTCCAAATATAATGTCTTAGTTGGGGAGAAATTTAATAGGCTACATTAACTTTAAAGATTCTCAGGAACTGTATTTTCAAAATTAATTACTTTTAAAAGCAGCATTCATGACTGAAAATTTTACAGTGGCATAAATGAGGGAGACAAATATGTGTAGTTTATTCTTATCTGAAACATTAAATGACAAATCTATTATGTTTGATGAGAGTGACATTTGATACCCATTATCTTATTATGAAATAGAGGAAAAAGACTGATTTTTTTTGTGATAATTCTGGGGGTTTCATAGTTACTGGACAAGTATTTTTAAGTGATCATGGACCAAATGCCATAAAATATATTAAATTATACCACTTAAGATGTATTTAGGGTTTTTTTATAAAAGTTTATTCATGGACATTGCATGGATTAGACAGAAAAGATTCCTTTACCATCTTTTCTACTTAAAAAATTTAGGCACACTTCATGTAACTTTTCATAACAAAGGCCATTGCTAACCATTCAAAAGGTGATTTAAATATTTCCATACACAAAGATTTTTGCTGGAATAATGTAGACCTTTGGACTCATTTTGAAAATAATTAAAATAATTCCACTGGTTGGAAAAGTACAGTGGAAAAATTTGGACTTTCCATTCTCTTGTAACTTGTTCACAGTCCTAGCAGCTTGGTAACAATTCTGTCTTTTCTGGGGAATGAGGGAATGGATCAAAGAGGAATGGCTCCTAGATTACCTTTAAAAATTATCTTAGTGAAATGAGTCTCTGACCTTTCTTCCACTGGATATGGAAGGCATCCATGTGTAGGGAAATATTCATATTAGCCTCTCGAGGAAACTCATCAAGGAGGGAAGGATGTCAAGATGAACCTGGATCATTTTTGTCAGAGGGGCCCTAGAGATGGTGCTACCCAGGACAGAATCCAGCAGGGTGGAAATTTCCACCTAATTGGTCAATGCCTAGGACTCAACTCATTGAAAAGCAGCTTGAAACTACCTAATATTTGTTGAAACCTACCTCACATTATTTCAAACCCTTGAAACATTGTTAGCAGAGTTAACCTTAATATCCTAATTGTATAAATGCCCAAACTATGGTGCAGAGCTGTTATATAATTGCTAAAAGACATCCCCATAGCGTATCATTTTTACTGCTTCCTAATCTGAAAGCAATATATGAAATGTTCATTAGATCAGAACCTCTTACACATTAAAGTATATATATAAGCTGTGAAGAGATTAATAACATAATCAAATAATAAACTTCTTTAGCTAGTGGCTCTAAAATAGAAACATCCTAAGTGAGTCCTAATGGAGTGAATGGCTTTAGCTTTGTCCAAGTTATTTCACAAATGTTCTTTTTATATCATCAGAGTCTTAACTTTTTAAACACATGATTGCAGTCTTGATAGTAACAATGTTGGCAGTCTGCATTTCTATTCAAATTAAGGCTTTTGAAATTGGCATTGAAGCATACAAAATTTTGTAATGGTTTCATGGAACACATGTCTCAAATCTACTTCAATTAAGTAACAATGGAACTAAGTGGCTACTCATGTAAAAGTATGAACTAAAAGGTAAAACTCACAAGACTTGCATTATTTCATTCATGCCAAGAGAAGTAGCAAACATTTGGATAGTCTCGCTTTTCATTTACTTTCAAAAATCATATTTTTTATTTCAGAAAGCTGACATAGTTTTACATTTATCATGACTTTACAGAAGCAACTTGAAAGACTAATAAAAGTTAGGGTGTACAAACCTGTACAATTGTTCTTATCTACAACAGGCTGTGTCTGGGTCCTCATCAAGACTCTGGTTAATGCTGGCATGTTTTATAGAATCTGTTTTTGAAGTCATGTTTTAATCCTTTGCCAGGTAGCAGGGCTGTTGTTGTTTTATTCATTTTTCTTGACATGATTCCAGAAAATTTTTGAAAATAAAAAGGATAACTAAATTCTGAAAACTAACAAATGATTGAAATATTATGAGAAAAAAGGAAAATATTAGTTTTCAATGTTTATAGACCCCATGGCTTGCTTTTCCATGGTGGGCCTTGGTCTTAAGATTGTCCTTTTTTTTTTTTTTTCCATTTATGGCTCCAGGATTACTTTCCAAAAAATATTCCATGCTGTCCAAAGCGTAGCCAGCCTTCTGTCTTTGGTTGACAAGCCCATACATTTCTTAATCCAGCACTTCTCTTGAAAAAAGAAACATAGAAAGCACATCACAATTAATGGTAATGGGGATAGCCTCCATTTCAGGGGGAATTTGGAAAATTGCCTGCTGTTCTTTTTTATCCCTTGGCTGAAAGAAAAACCATTCAGATCCAAGGAAGGAAAACGGGCCCAGGAATTCAACACTGACACGGAGGCTGTGGAGCCAGACTGCATCAGGCCATATTCTTGCAAGTCATGCCATTTTCATGTCATTGAAGTGCATTTATAAATAATTGCCCAAGACTTTCAAAAGTGCCACACACCTGTAAGGACAAACATTCCTACAGCCAAAATAGAACTTCCCCTTTATCCAGTGAGGTTCTGTACACAGCTGCTCATTATCTGTCATTGATTTAACATCAGGTTCAAAGGCACTCTAACACTTTAGTGTGAGCCCTCTTTCCTTCCTTCTTTATTGTTTCCTGGTCCCTCTCACTCTGTTCTAAGAATTTAACTGTCCATTGTTATTGTTGTTTGAGATTCTGAGACCCAACATGGCAATATCGCTGATCAGCATGTCATGTGTGTGATCAGTACAAAACTATCTCTTGACCCATAAACTCCTTGGAAGTTCTTCAGTCCTGCTATTTTATCTTTGGGGAGGCTCCTTGTCTCTCAATGAACTGTGGAGAAAAGTGACAACCACCTTTACTAAACCTGATTTCATTGAACGCCCAACATGCATGAGCACATGTGAATGCAGGTTGTAACAAGTTATATCACATTGCATTTACCTCCAGAATCTTATACTCTTATAGCTTTGCCCAGGGGCTGGGTGGAATGAGGACTTACTAACAATTCAAACAGAGAAGAACAAGAAGAGGAAGGAGGAGGAGGAGAAAAATCAGGAGGCAAGAGAAGGAGGAAGGGACGAAGGGAGGAGAAAGAGAAAAACATTTACTTCCCTTCTAGGAGGAATTTTTTTTTTTGGAAAGAATATCCCTGAGATCTGGGATACTCAAGGAGGGCTTCATTCACTAGGTGAGACTCCAAGAGGACACCCGAGATGGGAGATAATTTGCATAAGTGAACAAGAATAGATGCCATTGGGTTTTAATGGTTTCTTCTTCTGCTTTTGAATTTATGATTCGACGTGCAGACATTATAAAGTGCCTACAATGTACCCATCCATGACAAAAGAGGCTTCTCTCTGTAACAACAACAAAACTTACTGAGATTGCAAAGAAGAAATTATAATAAAACAGTTAAATTTCAGGATCAAGGGAAAACGAAGGATTCAGAGAGCTGAGAGCAGTACACAAAAAGGCCGTTCTTGCCAAGGAGTTACCATTGAATACATGAGCACATGAGGAACAATGTGACCGAAAGCATGCTTAATTCAAGTGCACATTGAAGAAACAAGCAAGATTGCAGAACTTACACAGACCCAAATGTAAGGAGAAAATCCTGCTTGTGTTTGGAAGACAGTCAATGCCAAAACATTAAATTACATTTAAAAGGTTGACCCTTTTGATAAGCATACATGGAGCTCTGCTTCATAAAGAAGTTATTCTTTAGAGTTAGGGGATTGATTCAATAGTTGTGTAGCTTGGATTTTGTGTTTGTTATTATTGTTAAAGGCTTGAAGAAAGTGTAATATTGGTCCATGGGTTGTAAAATTCCTGATGCATCTGGAAGATGTCTCTTCAAAATTATAGTCACCTATTCTAAGATTTAACATTAGAAGATACTTTACAAAAAAAAACATAATCCCTAACCCACAACTCACATTCATGTAGGTTCCATACATTAAGTACTATTTGATGTGCACTTACATTTATTCACTGATTGAACTCTTCTGAGAACATATTATTAACATTATCTATAACATTATCATACTCCTCCTCATTTTATGAATTTTTATGAAAGATAAGAAAATGCTGAGTCAAAAGTATGAGAAGTTCAACCTTCTGATAAAAAGTGAAAATTATGAAAATACAAATGTTTTCAAAGAGTTAGAAATAAGACTCACCTGTTAAAAATTTTATCTGCCAGGCATGGTGGCACACATCTGTAATCCTAGCAGCTGGGGAGGCTGAGTCAGGAGGATTGCAAGTTCAAAGCCAGCCTCAGCAAAAGTGAGGTACTAAGCAATTCAGTGACAGCCTATCTCTAAATAAAACACAAAATAGGGCTGGGGACATGGCTTAGTGGTTGAGTGCCCCTGAGTTCAATCCCCAGTAACCCCCACAAAAAAAAATTATTTAACTAATTAATTTTGTGAACAAACTAGTAAGATGTTACAACGTATTGAAATAAGCCTGCAATTTATAGAAATGTGTATTCTCTAACAGAGAACAGGAATCATATGCATTGCTCCCAGTTTCCCACAAATTAACTTATGCCCTTCAAAATGGTCAAATTGATAATAACAGTGGATTAATTAAACAACGTACACAACTTTCTTGAATCATCCAATCCCTAGAGAGCCTCAGCACCCAGACCTCCACTGAAAGGGCACCTCGTTGTATCCTGTGCTCACCTACTTTAAAGACCTGGACCATTTTTCCTGGTATGATGAACTGCTTAACAGTTAGATTACATTATAGGAATAAGCCACAGGAAGGAACTAAGAGAAAGACCATACCTACGTAAGAGCTAATAAACTGTTGGTAAAGAAAATAGATACCACCACCAACAAAAGGCCCTTTATTCAAAATACTGGTTTCAAAAGATTATGTTCTGCAATAAGTTATTGTTGTTCCTTTTGCATCCATGACTCTCCTCTGTCCCTAGCATACAGTTCTCATTTCTTCACCATCTCCTTCCTGTTCCACCTAGACTAGACATTCTCGAGATGCACGGTCTTCCCACCGGCAGGTCTAGGCAGAGGTAGAGTGGCTGTGAAAGTCTTCCACTAATGTTGGAATGAAAAAGAAAGATCTAGATAAATCAAGTAACTCTTCTGGTTAAATCCACAGTAGAAGGAGAATCTGTGTAACTAAGAGAATTTCCCAATTTCACAGCCATTTGGAAACGTGTAAAACCTTGACTTACTGGAAATGACTTCAATCCTGGGTTTGAAGACCACCACATTATGCATTGTCAAAGTGTCAGAGTTGTTTTAGATGAAAGGGTTCTATTTTCCTCCCAGTATTTATGAAACAGAATTAAAGATTCCCTCCTCCCTCTTTCTCATTTCAACCAGATAAAGTTTGAAGCCTGAAAAGCAATTACATTTATGCTTTGCCATATTCAGCTGAAAGTTTAAACTTGAAATAGAGTTGAGATTGATAGCACTTATGTTCCTTTCTTCCACAGCACAATTGTCATCTGCTTTCTGGAAGGCAAACAGAACCAGAGAATAGCGTTTAAATCATATTTTTTTTTTTAAAAAAAATCTTGACTCTGTTCCTTCCCATTCACACAAACCCCACACACAAGTCCATCGAGAAAGTTTATAAACAACCTTCGATGTATAATTCAAAGCTTATCCTAACTTCTAACTGCTTGGGTGGTTAAAAATAGGTTTGTTTCTCTCTACACTAGAAAAGCATCTTTCAAAAAGAATTGCACCCTGCTTGAAATGGCGCAGGGAAGCCTCTCTCGCCTGGAACAGCAGTTTTTCTCCAAGGAAGCTTGCCTGCTGCTCAGGTTCCCTGGCCATATTAAAAACAGATTATTCAACTAGCCTGGGGTGGGCTAATTAAGATTCCAAACCTCAGGAAACAAAAGTGTGTAACGGGACAGCCATAGGATAATCTCTGAATGATTTTAAAACAAGAAAAAGAATCTAAAATGTGGCCGCTTCCACAAAAAAGAAGAGAAAGCTGTAGTCCTGACTGGCAGGAGATGGGAGAGAAGGGGGCGTACTCCACTTTGTATAAGCTCTCATGGTGATTTTTTAACCACAGGTACACACTGCTCCCATGCTAATGAAGGAAGCCTAATCATAACCACAGACAGAACTCCCACAAATAAAGAGAATTGTGCAGATTTACCGTAAGTATCGTGGTGTTATCATGAAGTGAAAGATACAAAAATAATAGGTAGATTTTAACTAACTCAGTCACAGAAAAACATAAGTGTATTTATCTGTGTTTATATTCACGAAAATAAAATCTAGAAGAACAGGTCACAGTGGTGCAGGCCTGTAATCTCAGTGGCTTGGGAGACTGAGGCAGGAGGATCGCGAGTTCAAAGCCAGCCTCAGCAAAATCAGGGTGCTAAGCAATTCAGTGAGACCCTGTCTCTAAATAAAATACAAAATAGGGCTGGGGATGAGGCTTAGTGGTTGAGTGCCCTGAGTTCAATCCCTGGCACATACACACCCACCACCACCAACAACAAAACAACAACAACAACAAAAAACTTCTACCAGTCTTTATTTGTGAGGAGCAGATATGTCAGAGGCAGTCTACATTGTATGGATATTTCCATAAACAAAATTTAGTTTTTTCAAGTTGCTTTCTATGTGCCAGATCCTTTTCTGAGCATGTTCCATGTACTTACTCATTTACTATTGGTTCATTCAATAATGGATTAGTATAAAGGAAATAAAATGAAAAATATTATATATGTAACTTTCAAAGAAACATAAAAGTCCCATCACTAATATAAAAATTCTATGACAATTTCTTTTCTTCCTCCTAATATATATTCCTTTAAACTATTTTTCCAACTATAAGGATTGTTCTAGTATTAAATACTGATATTTATAGTGCAGAGTCTTTGTCATGTTAACGAAGGGAAAAAATTTTTAAGAACTTTTTTTTTTTTAAGATGTTTGAAGGTAAGTTGTATTTTATGGCTGATTCATTCCATTGGATAAGATCTTCAACTGATCCATCTTGGACAGTTGTTCTCAAAGTTGGACCCCAGTTCAGCAAGATCCATACAACTTCAAGAACTTGTTAAAAGGCAAATAATTCTGAGCTCCATTTCAGACCAACTGAACCTTAATCTCTGGGGTGGGACTCAGCAACTTGTGTTCGAGTGGGTATTCTATATAAGTCTAATTAAAGCTCAAAATCATTGATCCAGACTATGGAGTGTTGCCTGTGTGTGTTTTTTTTTTTCCTATGAGAAATACTGGGAAATAACAGTTTCTAGCTAATAAAATTTTGAAATAATATATTTAATATATTTGTGTTTTATTCCATTCCGTTTTTATGAAAATATCCTCTACTGCTATGATCTCTGCATGGCTTAACTAAATGCCCTCTCTGACTCTGAATAACGGTATCACAACCACCTCTTCCATTATTTTTTACATAGATGGAGAGTAAAATGATGCTCATCTGGGATAAACTTTGAATGAGTCATTTTTATTGAGATGATCAATAATAGGATGAGTGGAAGAATAGTATCTACAGATAGATTAGTCAGCTTTACCATCACTGTGACAGACATCTGAGATAATTTGTAAAGAGAAAAGATCCACTTTGGTTCACACTTTGGGATCTTTCAGTTCGTGA